CGCTGGAGGAAAAATTTGAGAGAATTAACTTTTAGGTACTTTTTCGGGGTGGCTCACTATTATTATTTCCTTTGATATGGGAATGGAATTCATTTCACAGAGATTAGATGACTTCTCTAAGGCCAAGTTAAAATAAATAATAATAATAAAAGCTTAGGCAGGGTATGATGTCAGAATTCAAATATCCTGACTTGGATTGTTCAGCCTTGGAAGGGACAGACCTGGATTGCAGTCAGGGTTCTGCACTCCAGCAGCAAGACCTCGGCAACCTCTGCACATGTAGTTCCTCCTCTGTAACACAGGGAACGTGGCAGTGCGTACCCAGGACTGATGTGAAATGCAAGTCATGTAGATGAATAAGGTAGCGTACCCCTGGCCCACTGGAAGCAATATTAGTTATCATTACTGGGGGATTTGTATGTAAAAAAGTCATTTAGAAGGATCATGCCCATCAGTGGCTGATTCAGGGTCTTCAGAAAATTTTGCTTGGACATCAGTTCTTGCTGTTGTGCACCAAGGCAGAGAGCTGGTGCGGCTTCTTGCCATGCCACATGCCGCTCCTGGGTGATTATAGTGACAACTACCAATAGCATGGATTCTCTGAACTCTATGGCTATCTTGGCCACCTTTATACCCCAAAGCAATTTTGAGCTCATTCCATGATGAATAATATTATACTGATATAATAGGACATTATGTTGATTTCTCTGACCCAAATATACATGAAAACATTAGGCTTAATTTGCTTTCAAGAAGCACAAAGTGCTGGCCCTAATGTTGTCAGAGCTGTTTGGTGTAAGGTTAAGAACCCCACAGGCTGACCACAGATGTGACCTGGGGTTTACAGGAAGTTATTGATTACAAATAAGAATTTATTATATGGTTTTCTGCTTTTCAGTGAAAATTAGATGACTACTCCAAAGACTGGATCAAACATTATCATTATTTTATGCTCAAAATACTTTGCCTTAAAAAGTAGTGATATATTTAAACTTTAAAAATCCAAAGATGAAAATACCAAATAAATCTACCATAGAATATACATAGTTTTTCAGCAAATCCTTACTTAGAATGATATTTCTGAAAAGATTGTTGCAACACCTTTTCTCGCTCATCTGCACTTATATAATTTTTAAATACTTTTGGTGCTGAGTTTAAAGAAACTGTTCTGCATTTATTACAGTTTCACACATTTCAAAAGCATCTCTTTGAATATAGAGGTAATTTATTTACTTTANATCTGAAAATGGACAGATTAGATTAATTTAGTTTTTCAACCTGTGTTTAGCAGAGCTCTATAAGTTTCTTTTAAAAATGTTGGAGTTTCTCTCTTCCATCTCACTATACAAATCAGCTCTACTTTTTTTTTTTTTTTAATATGTTTTTATTGATTTCAGAGAGAGGAAGGGAGAGAGAGAGAGACAGAAGCATCAAGGATGAGAGAGTCATTGATCGGCTGCCTCCTGCATGCCCCCTACTAGTGATCAAGCCCACAACCCGGGCATGTGCCCTGACTGGGAGTCGAACCTTAGTGTTCTGGATCATAGGTCAATGATGCTCAACCGCTGAGCTACGCCGGCCAGGCCAAACCAGCTCTAATTTGATAACTTTTATTTTGGAATTCTCAGTAAGATTACAAAGAGGAAAATAAACATTCTGAAGCAAAATAGAAAAGTAAACCAAAATTACTCGATAGAAAATTAACTTTCTGCCTTTTTTCAGCTAAAAAAACCCTGTTATTTCTCAGAGTGTATTTCATTCAACTTAATAGTAACCAAGAAAACACAATGAAGTTTCAGTTATATATAACAAAGTAAAACTTGATATTTTAAATTTTTTTATAATGAAAAGGATTTGGACTTTTATTTTTTTATTTATTTGTATTGTTGACAGTATTGCAGATGTCCCTATGCCCAGTTTTGTCTCCCTACATCCAGCCCTGCTCCCCCTTCCTCCTGGCCATCACCACACTATTGTCTGTATCTGTGGGTTATGCATATATGTTCTTTGGCTAATCCCTTCACCTTCTTTCACCCTGTCTCCCCTCCCCCACCCCTTCTCACAACTATCAGTCTGTTCCATGTGTTCATGCCTCTGTTTCTATTTTGTTCGTCAGTTTATTTTGTTCATTAGATTCCACATATAAGTGATATCATATGGTATTTGTCTTTCACCAACTGGCTTATTTCACTTAGAATCTCCAGGTCCATTCGTGCTATCTCAAAGGGTAAGAGAGCCCTCTTTTCTAGAGCTGCATAGTATTCCATGGTGTAAATCTACCAAAGCTTTTTTATCCACTCAGCTACTGGTGGGCACTTGGGCTGTTTCCAGATCTTGGCTATTGTAGATAATGCTGCTGTGAACATAGGGGTGCATATATTTGTTCAAATTGGTGTTCAGGATTCTTAGGATATATTCCCAGAAGTGGTATCTCTGGGTCAAAGGGCAGCTCCAATTTTAATTTTTTGGCAACTCCGTACTGTTTTCCACAGTGGCTGCAGCAGTCTACATTCCACCAGCAGTGCACTAAAGTTCCCTCTCCTCCACACCCTCGCCAATGCTTGTTGTTTGTTGATTTATAGATGGTAGCCATTCTGGCAGGTGTGAGATGATACCTCATTGTGGTTTTAATTTGCTTCTCTCTGATGATTAGTGATGTTGAGCGTTTTTTCATACGTCTCTTGGCCCTTTGTATGTCCTCTTTGGAGAAGTGTCTATTCAGGTCCTTTGTACATTTTTAAATTGGATTGTTTGTCTTTCTGATGAGTTGTGTAAGTTCTTTATACATTTTGGAAATTAACCCCTTATCAGATGTATCATTGGCAAATATGTTCTCCCATACAGTGGGATCCCTTTCCATTTTGTTGATGGTTCCTTTGCTGTGCAGAAGCTTTTTAGTTTGATGTAGTCCCATTTGTTCATTTTTTTTCCTTTGTTTTCCTTGCCCTGGAAGCTATATGGGCAAAAATATTGCTAGAGAGATGTCTGAGATTTTGTTGCCTACGATTTCTTCCAGGATTTTTATGGTTTCGCAACTTACATTTAAGTGTTTTATCCATTTTGAGTTTATTCTTGTGTATGGTGTAAGTTGGTGGTCTAGTTTAATTTTTTGGCGTGTACCTGTCCAATTTTTCCAACACCATTTATTGAAAAGACTGTTTTTACTCCATTGTATGCTCTTGCCTCTTTTGTCAAATATTAATTGATCGTAAGTGTGTGAGTTTAAATTTCTGGGCTCTCTGTTCTGTTCCATTGATCTATATGCCTGTTCCCATGCCAGTACCAGGCTGTTTTGATTGCAGTGGCCTTGTAGTATAGTTTGATGTCAGGTATTGTGATACCTCCAACTTTGGTCTTTCTCAAGACTGATGAGAATATTCAGGGTCTTTATTTACATTCGGGAGATTGGAAAGACTGCATAGGATTTTTAGAAGGTTTTCTATCTACTGAGCTTTGCAAATGTTAACTGAACTGTACTCTTAATAAGCCTTTCATCTCAGAGCTATTAAAGTGAAAATTGGTGTTCAAGGTGAGAAAAATCGAGGAGCAATGCATAAAAAGTCTAACTAATAAGTCTTTCTACTCAGTCAAAAGTATACTGTATCTAATATTATAACTTCATATAAATTATGGGAGCAAGTATGGAGTCTTCAGTAATAAATCTGTTCATGTTAAAGAATTTCTCTTTTCTAATTCAACTTTATTTGAATCCAAGCATATATCCAAAGTATCTTGAATTTTTCCCATGTGTGGTTGCCTGAGCATCTTTGTGTGTGTACGTGTATTTGCTTAGTGCATTAACTAGATGGTTTTAGAAGTACAACTGACTCTGCATGTGATGGAGGGGAGAAGGTGATGCGTGCGTAGATCCCAAGCTAGGGAGCCAGGGGGACTGTCCTTGGTTTGCCAAGTAGGGGGATTCCACCTGAGAGTAGGAACTCTGCCTTTCTATTGGAGAGACGGTCTGCATCCAGTAGTACTTAGAGCTTTTTTCCCCCAGTCTCACAAATGTACCGAACAAGATTGCCCCGAGACCACGTGACGCACTTTGTGTTTTCTGTCTGGTTGGAAGAGATGGGCTGATTTGGCTATTATTATTGAGGTACAGAGTTAATTCATTTGGACAAACCTTACTGATAAAATGCCCATGCTGAAATGTACGAAGACAGCTGTCATAGTTTTGAAATGTGCCTTCAAAGAGCGGGTTTTAGAAAATATAAAATCTTTTATGTTAGGTATAAGCAGATTAGTAATAAAAACTCCATTTTCATTTATCAGATCTGTTTGCATACTTCACATGAGCCAGGCATTGTGCAAGACGCTGGAAATGTTGGGGTGAGCCAGGCTCTGTCTTACTCTGGTGAGGGGGGCACAAGAAAAACAGCTGCAGTGGTTATTTGTTCTGTGAGTGAAGCAGAAAGGAGGGGCAGCGATTCTACCTCAGGGGACCATGAGGAAGCCTGCCGAACGGGGTAGGCATTTGATTTTGGCTTTAATTATTAAACCTTAAAAGTTCCCTCCTCCCCGTGGCCATGTTTGCCATATATATCACCTCTGAGTAACTACAAGTCAGAGGATGACCACCCCACGTTTGTAAGAAGCGCGGGGCCTTTGTGCATTCCCTGCTGTTGCAACAGCTGCCGTTAAAAGGACAGCACGCGCAGGTGAGCGTTTGCATTGTTACATCCACCTCCCCAACCAGGGCTTTGGACGCCTGACGGCCCAGAGTGTCTTGCGGCCTCTGCCTCCGCGGCGCCCTTGGCCTCCTGCACCCTCCTCCCTTCTACTTCGGGTCCCTGTCGCACCAGCCCCAGTCCTGGCCTTGCTGTCCCAACAGGCCCTTAGCAGACGGCTGGCACGGGACCCCCTGGTTCTGCTCCCATTGCCAGTGGCACCTGGGAAACGGCCTAGCACCACCGCGACTGCCAGGCTTCTCCCCGCTCCTGACCTAAAGAACGCCCTTACGCGAGGTGACGGAGTCCGCTCCCGTGTCCCCGCAGGTGCCGGAAGACCAGCAGCTGTTCCGCGCGCTGAAGACCCTGCTGGAGGACCTGCGCGCGGAGCTGCGGGAGGACGAGCGCGCCCGGCTGCGGCTGCAGCAGCAGTACGCCAGCGACAAGGCCGCCTGGGACGTGGAGTGGGCCGTGCTCAGGGGCCGCCTGCAGCAGGTACGGCCCGCAGGCGGGGAGGGGCCCAGGCGCCCGCGGCGACCCTCCAAGAGCAAGAGGGCTCTGAGGAGACCGGGGCACCGCCTGCTGCCTCTTCTAAAGCCCCCAGCCTCCCCGAGGCACCTTCCTCCCCCATGCTCCCTCTCCCACGTGTGGAAGACGGTCAGCGTTTTTGAAGTAGCATTTGCTTTCTCACTCCACGTTGAACAAGGTTGTGTTTTGCCCCATCAGAGGGCCTCCGGCATGAAGTGGGGGTCAGAGTATGCGCCGAGGGAATTCAGGCAGGAGCCGAGGAAAAGCAGATCGTAGTTTAGTTACGTCTGAGAAAGGCGCACACATGCTTTCCCTTGGCTTTCCCAAGCACTGCGGCCTCCCACTGCACGCCCTAGAGGCCGGATCCGTTTCTTATTCACACTGAAGGAAATGGAGCCCAGTAGAAGTGGCTGGTCTCGGATCACAGAGCCTTCAGTGCCCAAGTGGAGAGGAGAGTGGGTTCCTGCCTCCGCCCTTCCCGCAGAACACAGCCTCCAGGGAGAGTTTAGGCGTGGCATGGTTGTTTATTAAGGCCAGACTTAGCCAGAGGCGTCCTTTTCTACATTTTCAGAAACATTTTCTCCCTGGAAATCTTAAAAGCACAGTCACTTCCTGCAGGGTGTCTCCTTGTTCAGATTGTTAATTCAGGTTTCTTCCAGCCCTTTGATCACGATGAGGGAGGAAAAGTCTGTGCATCTTTGATAATCTATTTTCTAGGCCCTGTTTTGAAGCAAACCATAAAGTAATTAATATTTTATATTAATTGGCTCAGTCCTTCATGGAAAAAGAAATCGCCCAGAAAGGAGACATCTTCTAAATGGCCTTAATAAAAGAGGAAAGGACTTATCATATCAAAAGAAAACAGCTCCTGCCCTGCCTGGTGTGGCTCAGATAGTTGAGAGTTGTCCTGTGCACTGAAAGGTCACCGGTTTGATTCCCAGTTGGGGTACATACCCAAGTTTCGGGTTTGATCCCCAGTCGGTACTTGAGGGAGGCAACCAATTGATGTTTCTCTCTCACATTGATATTTCTCTCTCTTTCTCCCTCTCTCCCTCTCCCTTCCTCTCTAAAAAAATCAATAAAAACGTACTTTAAAAAAATAGAAAACAGCTCCTTTGGTACCCACAGGTTCACCTGCATTGCCACCTGGCTCAGGGGAGCAGTGGTGTGAGGCTCACAGCCCTGGGAAGAGCAGAGACACAGTGTTTTCTGCAGAGGAAGCTGCAAAGCACAGGAAAACCAAAGTGCCAGGCCAAGCTGGTCAGGAGACAGAGCCACTGACCCAGTTACTAATCCTGCCCACTGCCTGGTAGCAGACTCTTAATAGATGCTCTGTTTATGTTAGGACACAGCCTGAACCGTCAGCAGCAGAGGGGATATGAGTAAAAACACTTTTTGATGAGCTGCCTTTAAACCTATTTAAAAATTTGTTCATGGGAGGGGGAACTATTTTCAAAGACATTAAGTGTAGCTAAAGAAAGGAGGCATAATCTTTGATGCAAACCAGTTTGAAAACATTTCATCTTTGTTTTAGAGAAACCTTGTATCCACCCACATGTTTGCTACAAATAAAGCCTCAGGTAGAGTCATTAAACACTATGAAATAATGCTAGGACTTCAAGCCTAGAAGGCAGGTGGTTATAGGTAAGACTCATCTTCTGCCCGAATTGTTTAAGATGTTTCTTAAACATTTGCAGCCCAGGAATCAATGAATGTGGGCAGATGCTTATTCATTTATCATAGTCCCATCTTTACCCTTTTCTACTTAAAAGCAAAACAAGCGAATTCTACCAAAAGTTAAGTATTTTCTCTCAGTGAAGGCCATGTTGCATCAATTCCCAAATCTATGAGTCCATCAATTGACTCCTAAGTCAGACCTTGTTCTAAATGCCAAGGATCAAACAACAAATAAGATATTTCTTGCCTGGGTTCTCAGTGCAGTGGGAGGCCCAGACAAGAGCTGTAACTTATAATAGTGTGAGAAGTGCCCTGCCAGGCCTGTACACAGTGCTGTCGGGGAGTAGGGGCATGCAGGGCACACACCTCAGCTTGAGGGCTTAGAGAAGGATTATTTGTGAAAGTCCTGCTTGGAATGAATCTCAGAGGATAAGTAGGAGTGAGTACTTGGAAAAGGAGAGAAAGGATATGTCAGAAAATAAACATCATAAGGAAGGGAGTGAGCCACATCTGCAGAGCTGCACCTAGTTAGGTGTGAGAGAAAGAGCGTTCAAAGAATTGAAGGGATAATCTTGATTTTTAACGTGGAAGTAAAGCATTTTGATTTGCTTTTTAAAAGGTTATTCTGGCTACAAGGTAGAAAATGGATTAGAAGCTATTAGAATTGAATGGATTAACATAGGTCCATGGGATCAGCTGAACCAAAATAGGAAAGAGATGGTCTGTATATTCACTAATCTTTACCTAGAATTTATTGTGTCTTCTAACAACAGTACACTCCTAAATTTTTCCTCCTGTCCTCTCTGCTGTTGTTGTCATACAGTTTACTTCTACATGTTCTAGAAACACACAATATGTTGCAACTATTTTTCCTTTGGGCACTCAATGATTTTTAAAGCAATTAAAAATAAGGAAAATGAATTTTATATTTGTATTTATTTATGCCATTTCCAGTGTGCTTTATTTTTTTCTTTGTAGAACAGTGTCTATTGGTATATATTCTTTCTGCCTGAAAAGTTCCTCTATCATTTCTTGAAGTGCAAGTTTGCAGGCAGTGGTTTTTTTAATCCAATTTTATGTGTTGAAAAATGTTTTTTCCTTTATTTTTGAAAGCTATTGTTGCCACTTTCTCCCTTCAGCCCTTTAAAGATGTCACGCCATTGTCCTCTGACTTACATAGTTTCTGAGGAGAGATCTGTTGTCATTCATATATGTGTGCCTCTCTCTGTGTGTGTGTGTGTGTGTGTGTCTTTTTTCTCTGCCTCCAAGGCTTCCTTTTTAGTTTCCAGCAGTTTGAATATGATATGTCTAGATGGGAGTTATTTTGCTTGTTTGTTTGTTTTTGGTATTTAACCTGCTGGGTGTTTGACAAATATATATTGTAGATGCCTAGGGTTCCATCATTGCCCCATCATTAGGTTCCAGTAGGGGCTAAGAATATAGGGACAGACTTGTACTTGTCCTCAAGGAGCTCTACAGAAGGACAGGTAAGAGATGGTGGTGACTCAGTAGGGAAGTAGAGCTGAGAAGCAGACTATGAGAACATTGACATTCTGCGTGACTCTGTCAAACGTTTGTAATTAGGACTTTAAAAATGTAAATGGGTTTCTTCCATGGGATTGGTCAAATCTTGATTTAAACATGTCTTCAGGCATAATACATTAATATCTGAGATTTTCTTCACCTACTAATGTGAGACTTGGTGAGGACTAAGTTCCTAAGTTTTTTTCTCCTTGACAGCTGGAAGAGAAGACTGAGAAAAACTTGGGAGAACCAGGCTCCACCCCTGACAGCAAAGGGGCATTCAAGAAGGAGAGGGAGACACACCAAAAGCTCCTCGCTGACAGCCACGGCCTGGTCATGGACCTGCGCTGGCAGATCCATCACAATGAGAAGAACTGGAACCGGGAGAAGGTGGAACTTCTCGACCGCCTGGACAGAGATCGGCAGGAGTGGGAGCGGCAAAAGAAGGAACTCTTGTGGAAAGTAGAACAGGTAAGGAAGCTCCTAGACACCAGAGAACAGGGAAGATAGTGGAGACAGCCAAACTGTCTTAGAGATCAGAGCATGTAGAGGGAAAAACAACCAGGTTACTCAGAGGTCCTTACTACATCAGGATTTTTCATGGGCTTCCTGGGGAAGAAGAAGAAAAGAAAAGCTAGAATTTTTAGTATTGGAAACCTGGGTTCAACCCTTCCATTACACAGATCTCTTCATTGCAAAGTTTGTAGGTAATTTCCCTGTAGGTGTATGTGTGTGGTGTGTGTATATTCTGGGGTGGGAGGTAACTTTTTAAAGGAATTTAAAGACTAAACTTGAAAGAGGAGGTTATTTCAGGTCTTTTAAAGTGATTTCTGCCAAATAGCAAATTAACTTTTAAGTTTCCCACTAAAGATGTGGTCACAGTGATTGCTCCAGCTTAAATGGGATTATTGTCCATTAGTTAAGAAATTGTTAAATTAAATTGTAAGTTAGGTTGTTTGCACCTGCTGTGGATATTGCTGAGCTATAATTAGATAGGACCATAGTCAGGGGAGGTAGCCGGTAGCTCATTGTCTTCAGCTAAACAAATGATTCAGAAACCCAGATGAATTCATGGGGAGAGGGGTAGTTGTTTTCCTAATGCCCAGATCATTATTCTCTGCATTGCGTCAGACTTAGGACAGTTTGCGTAGCTGTGGCTGTACCTGAGTGATGCACAGATTACATTTTTATGTTAAATTGATGAAGATTTGGAATTCCTCCCTGGCTGGATTTTTCCACAGCATACATTTTATTTCAGCTTGTCACATTTATAAATTCATGAGGCCTCAAGGAAATGTATTCATCAATAAGAAACTGAGTTCAGGAAAAGTAACCTCCCTATTCTATTACAAATACCCATACTGCCTGCATTTATGAGGGAGCCTTTTAAAAAATGTGCTTCATTATCCTTAGACATATGGTACCTGTGTTACGCAGGCGCAGTAGCAAAGGTTAGTTTCTGCATGCTGTAGGGGGTCAGGGAGGGAGAGTGAACTGAAAAGGAACTGGAGCCTTTGGCTCAGAAAGCCTTGAGGAGGAGGAAGTGCACTGCAGGTAGAAAGGAGCTGAATTCCTCCTAGGCCGGATTACTCACTCTACTGAGTCACCACACTGACATGTGATATGGCTCATTTCAGAATCATCAAAGGAAAGTCGGCCACTTCCGGTTCAGCCTAGAAATGCCAGCACTTCAGGAGACTCTTCTGTATTATATCCTCTGTGTGCCTGTGTTCTACCGAGTGCATCAGTTGTTAGTGGAAATTGTAGGAGCAAAGTGGCATGTGTTCATAAGAATAATGGTCACAGATTTACTGTGTCCAGCTGTAGCTGATCAGTATCACAGTAACTCTAGGCACCTTGGTACCAGGGAAGTTCCCTCTTGGTCTTCCCCCTAGGATTGCTCACTTGTCTTTCCCTGCTGTACCCCAGCAAGACCATCCCAATCCCTGCCCTTCTGGGCCCCCTTAGCCTGCTAGCCGTGGGCTTGTTGGTGTTGTATGGCTTCATTTTGGAAGTGACACCTTGGATATAAGTTTAGCAGGTCCTTTAGGGTTTTATTTTACTTTGGAGAATGAGGAATTTCTTGTAAAGGAAAAATTGGCAAGACATTTGATGATATTCAGCTTTCAAATAGTTAACAACAAAGGGATGAGCATTTGCCTCATTTTTAGACTATTTTGGAAGGAGAAAAGGAGACAGGAGCTGAACCCCATGTCTGGATCGTTAATATTGCAACAGCTCTACCAAGCTGACAGCACCAGAGCTTTAGTCCCCAAGGTTAACATCTTTGAGCATAACAGGTTCCGGGCATTCATCTGTTTCTGAAATCTGTGTGTGTGGCAGATCCCACAGGCTTCATACAGTGACTTCACTGCTGTTTTTAGAAGAGGGTTTGTTGCCAGTGAATGATGCTTCAGATGTGCAATTGTGGCTTTCAAAAATAAATCTGGTCTTTCCCCCCAAATATTAGAGATTTAAAAAGAAGATTTTATAAATCTCGGTGCCCAATCCTGAAAATTAAGTAAAGCATTTATAGGCATTCTCTGTGAAAGAGGAAATTGGCTGAAGTGTGTATGTGTGTGTATAGATTTTGTGTATCAGTGACTAATTGCTCACTCATTTAACTTTTAGCTACACATTCTACAGATAAACAAGAATGAACATTCTTCATAGTGTATGCTCTTGGTATTTGACTACCTGGTGAGCCATATAACCTTGACTAGGACAACCTAATACAGATGGTAAAAGAAGTAGCACTAAATCCATTTTCCACTTTGAGAACACATGCTTCATACTTGTGTGGCGCCATTGAATTCCTACATAATTTCTGTGCCACACGAGGCATTTTACATGATGAATGACTATGGGAGTGTGGTTAAGGTCATATAACACATATCATCTATCTTATCACATCTCCTGTCTCAATCCAAACTCGATTGGGTGCTAGTTAACTTTTATGGAGTTACACTGTATTTCTCCTTGGAATTGCTAAGTTCCCAATGAACATGCTGATGATCTAGGACTTGCAGCAATAAAGAGCTAAAGGAAAGTTCATTCTTCTCCCAGCTGACTTTCTTAAGTCAGTTGCCTCTACAACATGCAAGGCTATTCTTTTAAAACCTGTTCACAAAGTGACCTTTTTTTTCTTTTGACCAGTTCAGATAAGGTGACACTCTTGAGGGTTTATTGTTTCCTGTATTATTTGAAATGCAAATCTTTAAAATTTTCTATTTGCATTACAAGTTCTTCTGCTGCAGGATTCTCAGTACAGTAATTGCAGACGCCTGATTTGAAATGACTCTCCTAGGAAACCCTATCCTTTTAAGGACCCATTATTCTATTACAACACCCCAGAGGCATCTCAGCAGCAGACACCTCCAGCTAAAACCACTCGGGTTCATTTTTAGGAAACCTAACACCAGCTCCAGTGCTCCTCACTCCTGGCTGCAGGGTTTATTTTTGAAATTCCACTTTACTGAGTTTGAACCTGCTAGTTCATAGCTCTCCTCTTTAGTAATTCTTCCCCTCTTCACACACACCCCCGGTGCACATTTACAGCTTCAAATGTGATGCTTGCATTTTAATTCCTTGCCCAAATTAGCTTGGAGATGATCATGTGTTGAAACTAAATTGCGCTGACGTGCATTGGATAAACATAATAGAAAGCTTTCCTTTTCATTTTTTTGATTAAAGAAAGCATTTAGCATCCTTTAAGAGAACTGTGAAGAACTGTGTCATGGGGAGGGAGGGGTAGAGAACAGAGGTGGCGGAGCTGAAACCCAGAGTGATGTGTTGGTTCCTAATACAACTGTATCCTGCCTCAAACCCTAACACTGAAGCTCTGGCTGCTCGAATCTTCATCTTCCTCATAAAATGAAGATAATACTCGGGGACTTTGGTTCCACCAACTCAGAAATTAAAAATAAGTCAAAGTCCTTTATCCCCATTATTTCACATGGCTTTGTTCCTGATGATACAGCCACACTCACAGCCAGTTTGTGGATGAAGGCTGAAATTGGGACACAGAGGTAAAGTTTATGAAAGATGCTTTCTTAAAAATATTAATTAAAATGCTTCTAAGGAGTTTTAGAACTTCCTGGCACTGTCCCAGCACTTAGGGATTGAAATCCTGCCACCCCTTCAGGACAAATCCAAATGTCATTTCAGTCATTCAAATAATTGCTTATTCAAAAGAGTAGCCAATGTGTAGAGTGCTGAGCATGTCATTCAACAAAGACCCCATTAAGGATATGTAGGTGGAAACACCCTCAGTTCTCAACCGTGCTTTCTGTGCATGTTTTGACAGGGAGGCAGTGAGCAGAGCTGAGTGAGGAAAGCTCAGGCGAGTAGAGGGAAAACCGACCATCAGGGCTTCTTGAGGAGAGGAGAGGGAAGGGGAGGGGAGGGCTGGGGAAGGGAGAGCCGGGGAGGGGAGGGGAGGAGCGAGAGTATCTGCCTACAGGCATTTCTCTGACTGTCCCTGTGATTTCACCTCGGGGCGCTTCCTGACCATCCACCACTTGGTTCTTGCGCTGTAAATAGGCAAGGTGGTTATTAGTGCGCCCAGCCCCAGAGGGCAGGCCTAAGGGAAGTCAGCGGTGGCTCCCGACAAACAATGAGTCCCCCCTGAACCTGGGAGGGCGGTATACTATCCCTGTTTATAGATGAGGAGACTGAGCTGAGAAGAGTTAGGGACCTTGTACCTGAGAGCGAACCAGCAAGCCACTCAACAGTGGTTCCAACTCAGGTCTCTCTAACTCCAGTGGTCCTATGTGTTTCCCACAATTGCTTCTTGAGCTTCCCACGCCAGGTAAAAAAAGCATGACTCAGAAGTATCTGCCTTGTGTTTGTTTGTTTTCAGTAATAGCAGATCTTAATTACCTTTTAGCTAAGTTTCAATCCTCTCAAGCAAAGTATAAGTTGTTTTGACATCCAGTGATTATAATAGTTTGATCCCCCGGGCTATACATAAGACCCATTCCACATGATTTGGAAATAATACTCTGTTATTATTAGCAAACTCTGCTAGTTAGGAAAATCAAATTTACCCTCAGAAGCTTGCTGTCACTAATGGTTTTCACTGAGTATACCTTAAGTTCTGAAGGTAATTACAAAAATAAAAAGAGTTCTAAATATGCCATTTAATGTTAGATTTTTTTAAAAATAAATGTATAGTTTCCTGTGAGCACAGCACTCAAAGTGATGTACAGTAACATGGATTCTTGTCAGAAGGAGTTGGCTTATATGTGGTTAATGCAGATGTTCAGTCCAAACAAAATTGTGATTTTTTAAAAAGCGTTTGTAATGGTGGGTTGCATTTGGAAATCAAGGCCAGAACTTAAGAACCTTTACTTCTCTAAGTCTTTGAGATGTGAGCTGTGGTGAGACCGAGGTCTTAGGAGAGAACAGATAGAAAAGTGAGGCTAATTGTTTTGATTTTTAAACCTTCAAGTTGCAGAAAGAAAACAGTCCCCGCAGAGGTGGAAATTTCCTTTGTGATCAAAAAGAAGGCGACATCCGCCCTTTTGCTCCCCCGGGAAGCCCCCGCGTGCCCCGACCAGTGGGGATGTGGCCCGGCACAGACTCGGACTCAGCCCCGTTTGAAGACCGGCCACTCTCCAAGCTGAAGGAGTCCGACAGGTGCTCGGCCCGGGAGAACCTCTACTTGGACGCCCTGTCTATGGAAGATGAACCGGAGGAGCCTCCGGCCCGCGGGCCCCAGGACTTCAGGAACTGCCTCCCTGAGGTCGGCCTGGGTTTTCGGGTCCAGTTAACCACTGCAAGACCAAGGGGTTGTTGGGAAACCTGGCCACATGGCAGGCAGGCACCAGGGCTTATGGACACATGAAACCTTCACAGTGCCAAGAGCATTGCTTGGTGGCCTTAACCGCAGGCCCCTAGCTTGTGCTGTGGTCAGCTTTATTCTGCCACTTTCTCTCAGGTTTTGTGTCCCATGTAAATGTCGTGTCCCATGTAAATGGAAAGGTCTCATGAATGGGCATGTCCAGTGAAACACATGGGAGGAAGGAGGTCATTCTAGGGAATAGAGATTTTCAACTTCACTTAAAATTGTAGCACAGTCTTCTGACTCTTGAAAACTTGTTACTAACAGAAAAAAATCTGTTTTAAAGAAAATACCTGATATTTGGAAGTAGCAAATGTCACTAAACAGTAACATACCATAAACACCTTATTCCGCACAAAGGGAAGGCAATTCAGCATTTAGAAACCTTACGTAAACTGGATGAGCAAGTAGATGAGCTAAGCTCTGTGCTGGAATTTCCACAGCACAGCACAGCATTAGGTTTTCCTGGTTAAGCCCTTTTTAAAACCAGGTTTTAAAATTGATTTTAGAAATCGTTATCTGTGAGTCCGTTTAACAGTTGCTATACATGCACTTAACCCGTCCCAAGTACTTAATGGACTGAGAAGGGTTCATGTCAATAGTGTTGTTGAAATGTGGGGAAATTATACTTGGTCACATGTCGGTGAGGTCAGGCGCCCTCTCCTCAGCAGTAGATTCCCAGCTGATGTGACATTACCAGTGTGCCTCCCTGTTTGACCTGTTGGCGATCTCCCATGGTCCAGTCTCACAGCAGCGAGAAGTCAGACGGGTCAGGAGGCTGGCCTGGTGCCAGCCCCGCAGGGCAGGGACAGGGACCCCGACTGACCTGCTTGGCGGGCGGTGCTCACTGGGGGAAGCGCAGCAGGCTGCTTACTGTGCCGACAAATAAACTTCCCTTGTCAAGGGCTCGCTAGGGCCCTTGTTCTTTCTCCCAGACCACGTCAGCTCGAGGGTGTTTCAAGTCAACCCATGTTCATGTTGCCCTCTGCCAGCACAGCTGTCTTTCTTCACCAGCAGAACTTCGTCTTGGATTCCAAACGGCAAAGTTTAAAATTAAGATAGTACTTGGGCCTAAGGATCTCAAACCAACTTCTAGAGCGAGGCTTAGACCAAGGCACATCCATCTTCTCACTCACTCTACCAGCCTCATCTTCCTTTCCCACCTCTCTCTCTCTCTCTCTCCCTCTCTGTCTCACACAGAAACACGCACACACACGCAGGCGTATCCAGGTCATTACAAATCAAGGTTGAAATCCATGTAGTCAGCGAAGTCCTTTGAGGAAGCACAGGAGAGCCACTTTCTCCATGACAACATTTGTACAAAGTTTACAGCCAGCTTTTCTTACTCATGTGGCCTCCACCCTGGATGCTGAAGCTCCAGCCCCTCGTCACGCGGTGGGTGATGGTTTTATTACTGTGTTGCAAAGGGCTGGGGGCAGTGGCACTCCGGGCAGAACTTGGCTCCATGTGCATTGTCAGTGGTGCTTTCCTAGGCAGGCGAGCAAAACAGATCACACAGCACACCGAAAGCTCCTAGGCAACCAATATTAACTGATTCAGACGAACTTATTTCTTCTTTTAGGAAGAAGAAAATCACAAGGGAAATCTTCAAAGGTAAGTGAGACTGATGAAAACAATAGTAGTCGACCGAAATAAAACCCTCTTGTCTGAAAACTCCAGCTTGTCACTGCGGTCTATTGTAATACTCTCTTCAAAACGACTTAAAATAAGACTTCTGAATAAGTAGTTGCTTTATTCTTATTAATTTAATAAATATGGTATTTTATTTTTTTTATTAACCACAAAAAGGCCAGAGATGTGCTGTGTTTGTATATTAGTGTTAGGGTAAGAACTCTGCCATTACAGCTGTGTGTTGTGTATATTAAGGGATGATTGTGGTAAACGGTTTTTGAGAAGTCCATGGAAATTCCTCTCTTCTAACTTAAAGTCTGAAAAAACTCCCTTTTGATAGGCTATGAAACATTACACTATACCAGCGATTTTCAACCTTTTTCATCTCATGGCACACATAAACTAATTACTAAAATTCTATGGCACACCAAAAAATATATTTTTTGCCGATCTGACCAAAAAAAAAGAGGCTATTGTGTCATTTTTTTATTTGACAGTCTAAGGGGAAAGAGGTCAGTGCCTCTGACTAAATAGTCAGGTATTGCATGTTTTAAAAATTCTTACGGCACAGAAGTTGAAAATCACTGTACATTTAAAAGCTCTATTTGTAGGATTTATTAAACTATTTCTCTGCAGTAATCCTTGAAGTAGATATAAACTAGCTGATGTTGTTGATGTTTGTAGTCAGATATTTTAGGTGATCTGTGTGATGGGACACATATAGCAAATTTGTTTTAATTTAAACTTTAAAAATATACAATTGACAGTAATGTTCAGAGATTTCTCATAACAACCTCCCTACCAGGCCACATAACGCAGCCTTTTTCTTTATAGATGAATACGTATCATTTCCACTACATGCAATTTTTTCTCTGGGCTGTTCAGTATTTTGAGATCTTCTCATCCCTGGTTTTCCTATGAACTTCAAGTCCATGAAATAGTACTAAGTTTTGCCTTCAGTGAGAAATAACAAGATGGAAAGTTTAACAGTGGCATTTGTAGCCTGTTCTTTTACCCCATGGTGATGACCACAGAGCATGTGCCCCGGGGTGAAGGCAAAGTCACCGGGAGCTATGCTGGTTCTGTTGCCCAGTCCATGTAGTACACAGACCCCAATTCTGGCCTCACCACCATTAATGGATCCTACAGTGGAGAGGCCCATGGACTTCATCTAAGACCCCTTCTGCAGGGCCTGGGCTGGTCTATAACCCCAGGTATTCAAGCCTCTGTTCAGAGGTAGGTGGATATTAATTTGTCCTATGAGAAAGCGGTCTAGTTGCAGAGACAGTGAGTGTGCACACACCTCACCTCCTTGCCACCCCAACCAGAGGGACTCCAGGTCAGAGGGCCCAGGGTCTGAGCCACAGGCATGGCCAGCCCCAAGCCTCCTTCCTGGCCACCACTTCTTTGCCCTGTGTGGGCTGACAAGCTGCGTAAGCCCTCCAGCAACCTCCCGTCTTAGTGTGTCAGAATCTCCAACACCTGCCTCAGCGCCTGCCCCAGCCTATAGGAGGCAGTCAGTAAATTCATGTCAAATAGAAATATATTAAATTAAAGTGCTAATATATTGAGGAATCTACATCCAAATCCACGTCTATTAGGCAAGAGCTTACCCAAAACTGGCTGTTGCCTTAGGTCTCCTGTCTTCACTTTCCACTGTGTGCATGTGTCTGTGGGCATCTTCCTCTTGTCCAGAAATACAGGGGGAGTGAGAACAAAGAGAAGGCTTGACTGCAAAGGGAGCAGCGAAGAGGGGAGAGGAGAGCAGAGCCCCATGGGTAGATTTAGGCAGGGATAGATGCAATTTTCATTCGAAATAGTATTTGGGAATTTATTTGTCGACCTGGTTACATCTTCCACATTCCTTCCTTCTCCGTCTTCCTTTTGGCCTTTGGAGATGGTTAGTACTTCAGGTCAGTAGAGGATAAGACCAGTGGGTGAGAAAGACTTCAGATTACAGTTATTTTGTTGTGGTATCTCCTCCGCCCCCAGACCATTAGCTGGCTCTGGATCAGGACTGCAGTGTGTTCATGTCTGTGGGATGAGCACCCAACACAATGCTCCACACTCAGGAGACTCCCAGTATGTTGGGAACTGAAGGCACACTGTTCAGTAGATAGAGAGGCCACACCACAGCCAGGTGTCCCTTCCTCCTGCCAAGCAGCATAGGCTAAAATGAAACCCCCAAAGTGGATTTGGAGCTTAGCTATGCCTGCCCGATAGCCCCACCCTTCCACTTGTTTCCAGGGTTTGAGGGTTGGTTGTATTACATTCAGGACCAATACAAAGCTCCTGGAACAATTCCAGAGCCATAAAAAGCCCATCAAACACCCACAGGGTTAGCTCAGGAGTGGAGAACATCAAGCAGCTGGAAAGTGTTCTGATAGTTCTGGCAGAGGCTGACACAAAACACACTTGCGTGGGCAGGACACACGTGCTGTGCTGGGTCAGGGGGTCTCAGGTCAGCGGACTCCCTGGCTGGTCTCAGGTCAGCTGACACTGTCTTCTCTCCCATTCATTCTCCCAGGGCAGTGTCCGTGTCCTCCATGTCTGAGTTCCAGCGCCTGATGGACGTCTCTCCCTTCCTGCCGGAGAAAGGCCTGCCCACTGCCAGCAGCAAAGAGGACATCACCCCACCCCTGTCTCCTGATGATCTGAAGTACATCGAGGAGTTCAACAGCAAGAGCTGGGACGAGAGGCCCCCAGAGCCCTGGGCAGACAGGACCGAGGGGGGGCAGGCAGGGAGTGAGGCTGGTACTGAGCCCTTCCCTGACTCTTCCTGGTACCTCACCACGAGTGTCACCATGACCACAGACACCATGACCAGCCCAGAGCACTGCCAGAAGCAGCCCCTGCGGAGCCACATCCGCACTGAGCCATCTGGGGTGCGGGTGCTGCACAGCCCCCCTGCCGTCCGCAGGATGGACAGCATCGTGGTGGCGGGCAGTGAGAGCTCAGGCCGGCTGGAGCCTGAGGTCCCGTTTCCTACAAGCAGAGCCAGAGGAGGCACAGGAGACACTAAGGGGGGCCCCTCAGAACACATGCTTAGCAGGTGGCCTTGTGCCTCTTCCCGGCAACCCCGAGACTATGGGGAGAGAGGGCTGCACCCCCTTGATAGCACCCTCTGTACCCCTCTGGGTTTCACCTCCCCACTGCACAGCCTGGAGATGTCCAAGAACATGAGTGACGACATGAAGGAAGTGGCCTTCTCCGTCAGGAATGCCATCTGCCCTAGTTCCCCCGAGCCCCTGGTCAAGGACATGGCCTGCCAGACCAATGGGTCCCGGACGACGGGGACACAGACCACCCAGACCATCAGTGTCGGCCTGCAGACCGAAGCTCTGCGTGGCAGTGCCATCACCAGCAGCCCCCACAAGTGTCTCACGCCAAAAGCAGGGGGTGGTTCCACACCCGCATCATCTCCATCCCGTGGCCTTAGGAGCAGGCAGGTGGCCCCCGCCATCGAGAAGGTGCAGGCCAAGTTCGAACGCACATGCTGCTCCCCCAAGTATGGGTCTCCTAAGCTGCAGAGGAAGCCCCTCCCCAAAGCTGACCAGCCAAATAACAGGACCCCACCAGGGCTGGCCCAGAAGGGATGCAGTGAGTCGGCCTGGGCCCGCTCCACCACCACGCGGGAGAGCCCCGTGCACACCGCCATCAATGATGGCCTCTCCAGCCTCTTCAACATCATCGACCACAGCCCCGTGGTGCAGGACCCCTTCCAGAAGGGGACTCGGGCTGGGAGTCGGTCACGCTCAGCAGAACCCCAGCTGGAGCTGGGCCCAGGCCAAGACACCAGCCCCAGTTCCCGGGGACGGTCACCCAGCCCCATCGGGGTTGGCTCAGAGACCTATAGGGAGGAAGGGGGAGAGGGCACGCCTGTGAGGCAGGACTTATCTGCTCCCCCTGGCTACACATTCACAGAGAGTGTAGCCAGGATCCTCAACAAGAAGCTGTTGGAGCATGCCTTAAAGGAGGGGAGGAGGCAGGCGCCTCACAGCCTCCCAAGTCTTAACAGTGACAGCCACATGGGAGAAACCATCAAAGCCGAACCAGGGTCCATCGAGGTAATGAAAGCTGAGAGTTCCACACCCTCACCCTACCAGCTCTTACATTCAAATGTTGGGAAAACTAGTTTGAACCTGGGATTGTACTAGGTCATCTGACTTCAAGAATCCTGGTCCATAATAGGTTCTTGTGAGCTGGGGAGATACCTGGCCTATGGGAGAATGGAATGGGCAGAAACACTAGCCCTGAGCTACTTCTTAGAAGTGATTCAGGTTCTCAGGTCCAGGTCATGGCTGCTCATCTGTTTATCTGAGCTTTTCACTTGGGGTCATAATTTGCCACCCTTCTGGATAAAATTGTCCTAGGAATGTCTGTGTGGGAAGTATGGGAGGGTTGCGTTAGGGCTTTCTGGCTCCAGATCTCTATGTGTGGGGAGGGTTTTGAGAGTGTGGATTCGAGAACATCTCTCATGAGGAGCTACAATGGCTGGACTCTAGCGTTGGCTTCAGTGAGAAGTAGCAGTCACACATCTCACAAATTACTGTCTCTGTCCACAAATCCCTCCAGTAATAAACCCAGGTGAGGCAGACATGCAGTCACAGCCCTGCCTTCATACAGGGTGATGATTGTCATCCCCCTGACACATCCCGTATTTTCTCATTATTATTATATAACCACACATATTATCACATTATGTAATTATTATTAATATCCCTATTAACAATATTCTCAAACCAGTCAACCTTGAATTCTGTTCTGACGCATATCCACATGTGGTATATTTGTACCACACCACTTTAAAAAGACAATCCCCATTTCCACTTTAAGAGTGAGCAAAATAAAACAAAGCCCGATGACAACGCTGGGGGTGAAAGCAGTAGTGACCCCAGCTTCACAGTTCATGCAGTGCTGACAACACGGCCCCCACCCCTCGGCAGCCCCTGTGCAGGAGCGATGCCACATGTAGACTTCAGTGCAACAGTAGCCCAGATGGACAAAGTCCACCCCGGTGGAATCCAGACACCCACAAGCATTCTCCAGGCAGGCAGCCCAGCAGATGGCCAGGGTCTGTGGGAAGGAGAGAAATACCCTCTTCGAGCAGCCTGCTGCTTTCCTGCCCGCCATGGCCTGGGCCTCATGAGTGAGGAGAGGAGAAAGATGTATTTCTACGTTCTGCCCCAAGTTTCCCACAAGGGGAGCAGTGATGGTCAGGTTCCCAGTCTAACCCACCAAGTACTACTTAACTGAGAATATAGAGTTTAAATGTGAAATGGGTTAAACCACGTGAAGTTGCCAGTGACCTGTAGAAATGGCAGTGCCATGTGGTTCAACCTGATCTTGACAGTGCATGGTGCACATGTTCTGAGGATGCGAGTCTTTGTGATAAAGTGGTTTACATGCTCTGAGAAGAACACAAACCGTGGTTGAGTGTTCTCAGGTGACAGATGATGTCTTCTGCAGGCCTCTGTACCCCCATCCTTCGGGGCCCTCAGGTAAGTGAGTCATCCCCTTTGTGGGAATGCCTGATTTCTCGGAGCTCTGCAGGAATCAGCTGAAACCAGGGCTTTGTCCCAAAGCATTAACTGGCTGTGTCTGGAGTGTCCATTCATATTAGAAACTAAATAGAAATTATTAATTTTTAGGAACCAAAAAATGTTTTGCGTTAAATGCTCCAGGTGATCTATGATAATATAAAGGATGGTTTAATGACTGAATCACAGCTCTAAGGTGTGAAAATGGTTGTATCCATGCAAAGCTGTGCCCACTCCCTTTCTCTTCTCACTTGGTGCATTCACTGCCTCAGAGATGATTGGCCCATTTGATGGGAGCACAGCACAATTTCGGGGGTCCAGAACCTGCCTGGAGCTGTGGCAATGTCATCGGCTCTTTCTTCCTTTTTTTTTTTTTGTTGCAATTTTGCTTATTCTAGATTCCAATGGAATTATTTCTTGCCTGAATTGACTTACTGTATTAGGCCCATTGGAGAGCCCTTCCTGCCACTCCATAAATTTTGTGGTAGTTCTGGGTTTTCATTCCAAAATCACCAGAAGCAAATCTGATTTCCCAGCCTGCTGTGTGAGGCCTGTCGGGGACTCTCCCTGAATGTTCAGACAGCTAGTTGGGGATGTAGGGATCCTGGCTAGGACCCTGCACAGCGGAACATCCCACTCTCACCCCACAAGCTACTTATTTTTCTCTTGAAGCCATAGCACTAATGCAGCGATGCAGAGAAGCTGTGAGGAGTTCTGGTGTGAGGCGAATGGGAGTAATCTGGAAATGTAATTATTTTCTTCTCTCCCAGGTCTAAGTGGAAAATGGGAGGAGTTTTTAGTGTGAACAGCAGTCGCTTGATCATTGTGACTGAAACTGGCTGTTCTATGCTTCCTTTCAAATACAAGAGTCCCGTGACTTACATCTCTCTCTGCCAAAGGGTGTTTGAAATGTTAAAAGCCAAAGGGCAACTCAGGGAAGAAAGAAATCAGAAGGGAAAGGGCTGTTGCTTCCACAGTGAGGTCCCCCCTCCCTCTGGACCAGGCAGAGAGGTCTGTGCACCCCGGGAATGCAGTGCCGCTTCTGCGGGCCTCCTGCTTCTTCGGATAACTGTCCCTGGGGCTGGCCCCCAGCTTGTTGACATTAAACCTTTACTGTTCTTCTGTTTTTAAAAACACTTCTCAACCTACTTGCTTTTCTTTTCTTTCTCTGTCTGTTCTGTCCAGAACCAAACTGTCTTACTAACTGCCCCCTGGGGACTCTAGCCCTGCCTGCCTCACGCCGTAAGTGCTTTCTGTCCTTCTTTCCAAACTGTCTGGAGAGGTCATTTGTGTAACTCGGGGTTGGCATCTGACACTTAGAAACAAGGCGGAATCATCCCAGGTAGATCTGCTCTGTAGAGGCAGCCGCCCACACTGGCTCTGGGTCCCTTTGCAAGTAGATTGGTGGCCTGGACAGTCCCTTTTGCCAAGTGTTGACTGCTCGATGCAAACGAAGGCTCCCAGGTTGTAGAGATCCTGCTGAGATTTCTGCTCTCCTGTGCAGTTTGCAGCCAATATGCTGTCAGAGGGGTAAGAGACATTGGCCAGAGAGGGGACTGTGTGTGGGGATCTTTGAGCCAAATATTTTCCCAGTGGGCCTGGACCTGCTACCGGTATTTGGTGGCACATGTTATTGCTATGTGCTATATCAGGTGTGACCATAATGAGGCTGCTGCTGCCTTTTTTTTTTTTTTTTTTTACAACAACCACACCATAATAAAAGCAAATACATCTTGTCCTTCCAGGTGATCACCATAGGTGACCTAGCAAGTGCTCAATAAATACCTGTTGATTGGATAAACAGCACAGTCATCCCTGCTCCAAAAATATTCTCAGAAATGACTTCAGAGCCTAAATCAAGCCACATGAGAAATCAGGAGCCTTGTTTTTAATCAAGGACGTAATTACCCATCTCGCTCATTCACTGATCTCAACTCAGAGCACTCTGTACCAAAGTACATTTGTCTCTCTACCCAGAGAGGCGCTCCAAGGATCACATGCCTACATAGCCCACTGCAGTGGCCTCAGGAAAAGGACAGCATGGTCTGCTTGTGTGTGCTGGTGTGGTCACGCGACATTTCTTCCTGTAGGAGTCCCCAAACAGATGCGAGTGAGGAGGTAGCCCAAAACTAATGGGAAGCCCCTCGTCATCCAGCATCAGCTAGGTGGAAACTGGCTGCAGCCCTCCCAGCACACACACACCTGCACACAACACAACACACACTCCTACACAACGCAAGCACACACAAACTCTTACAAAACCAGGAGCAGTGACGCCAAAAGACACAAAATAGCTGATTTCCCAAACCACATGTCCCCGCATACCCTGCGCTGAGGTGAGGTGAGGACACGGCTCACCCTGCATTAGTTCACATTTCAGCTATTTCAGGGCTGACAGCGTTTTCACAGGCGAGGTATCTCTGGTTGCCATGGTTCTCATTAGCATAAGTGCTTTGCTGATCGGGGCTTCCCTGTTGTCATATAAGGTGCCACCCACAGAAGAGGCAGGGTGCCTTCAGAAGCGCCCCCAGTGTCAGTGCTCCCTCTCTGCGGACCCCACAGGGAGGCAGCCTCCTCACCATCGCTCTCCTGGTCCGCCTCCCATCTTCCTCCTTGTCACAGTGTTTGTCACATCACCTTTCAACACAGCCGCTGACTTCCTGTGTCGCTCCCTGCTCTGCTGAAGAAACGCTCCTCACTCTGATCTTTGCAGTTGCTTGTCACCTCTCTAAATTCTCCGCCTTACTTCCTCACTGGCTCCGAGGGTCTTTGCTCTGTGTCATCGCCATTGCCGTGGTGGACCATCCCAGCTTTCTGTCTTCTGAGTGTCATTTGGGCAGACGGGTCCCACCCTGTGGAACCCACCGTTTCCTCATGCCATGGCTTCTCCCATTTCTCTGTGCCAGCACATTCCAAGTGTGGGTGTCGTTCCCTGCCGTGGAGACTAGGCCGTGAGAGGAAGCACTCCAGGTGGTCTGCACCGTGGTGGAGGGTGTCTCGCATTACCTCTTCTCAGGTGTGGGATGCCTGCAACACAAAAGCACAGGCACACTCTGGCTCCACTTTTTAAAATGTGGCAAGGAAGGGTCATTAAAGAAAACTAGACCTAAATTAAAATTTCTGCCGGCAGCATTTTTTCATGTTGTGGGAATTTGTTTCACCCACTGCCAGTCAGTTTGGAATTACTGCTAGCAGAGTTTTGTGTTAAGGTGAGTCTCATTTCTAATCCAGATGGATGAAATCATGGGCCCTCAACAGGCCAAGGCACAGGGAGGCTGGCCTCTTAGGACCGTCTTTGTCACTAAATAGATCATTCAGGAGGGCCAAAGTGATGGGACCAGCTGGGTCAGAATATGACCACGTGGCCTGTGTAGACCACATGAGGCCTGTGGTTCTTCCACCTTCCACATGCTCCGGCCCTGTTCTCACGGTGCTCTGTAAACACGCCCATCTCACAGCTTGGCCATTTTAATCCTCGTGATACCCTCCCATTACTGTCATCTCTGATCATTCCTGATGAATTCTTTACTTACCATTTTAAGTCATGCTCCATGAGCAAATATAAGCTAGCATTCAGAAGTTGCCCCTGGTCTATTGCATTAACTTGAGCCTGTCAAGATGTGTGTTTGGGGGAAATCACACACACGCACGCATGCACGCACGCACGCCCCGGAGGAACTGTCAGTCTGAGTAACCCTGTCTTTCTCTTTCTGGCTTTGAAGGAACTACCTTGTTCCGCACTAGCTCCATCCCTAGAGCCCTGCTTCTCCAGGCCCGAGAGACCAGCAAACCGTCGCCCTCCATCCCGTTGGGCCCCACATTCCCCCACTGCCTCAGCGGCTCAGTCACTCGGAGACCCGGCCTCCTTGGAGGAGCTCGGCGACGAGGAGCTGCCCGGGGAGAAGCTGCACCAGTGACGTGATGCAAGTTTGCATGGATTATCACGGAATAATTCACTGTAATTTGCATAACCACACCATCATCGTCAACCAAACTCTGCCCAAAAGGAGAGATCTAGTTTTCCCAAGGTCAAAGAATGTGTTTTTAAAAAAACACATGGCTGCTGAATGTTCAACCTGTGAACCTGAGATGTTTCTAGAATGAAACAGTAAATGTGCCTGTAATAACTTAATTTTTTTCATAGCTCAGAAAACTATTTTTGTCTCCATCTTTTTTACACACAGTATATTAAAAAAAAGGTTAATAAGATATAAATAAATTTAAAAAATAAAAGTTTTAAAGATGTACATTTTAAGAGATTCTGAACACCCTCGCTCTCAATCCTGACTGCCTGTCTGTTAAATTTGCACTGTTACATTTTGGTTTGGTTTATTTCCACATTGAATTAGAGTGTTTTAAGTTAATTTTACTTTGTCAATGTTTTTGGTTTTTAAGAATTTTTGAAAACTTCAGACTGTGTGATTCAGTGAACTTTTTGTAGTAGAAAAGCCAGGAAGCCAGTAGACAAGACAGATATATCCTGGAGGGGACACATGTCAGCGTTCTGGAAAAGGTACTGAGTCCTCAGCTGGGCTTACCAAATTCTTTGTATAATCCACATATTCTACTCGACTTGCACGCCTCCGGGTTCGAAGCACTGGGGTGCATGTACATATTGCTGCTGTGGTCTCCCCATCACCTAAGTGTGAGTCGTCTGTCCCATTGTGGCACATTGTGAATTCCCTTGTACTGTACTTTCGTTGTCTTCTTGCATCGACGATACAACAGCAATGGCATTTTAAAATTATCGTTAAAAGAGTAACTGGCAATATGCAGTGTTTACTCAAAATTTTCTGTTTAAGAAAAAAATACTATAAAAAGTCATGAGGATACCAAACTGAAGCAAAGGATGGTCCTCGGAGTCTGTATGAGACGATGATGAAGTAGAAATAAAGCCTTTACAAGACGGCAGCGTGTGCCCAGGCCTCATGCTTCACGTGCCCTCGTCTTTCCTGAGGGCTCAGAGGAAAGTGGCCATAACCAGGGGACCTTGGGAAAGGGGAGCTCGTGTAAAAGGCAGCAGCTGCTAACATGTCTATCAGGGAATGCACCACGTGCGTGATGATGTCGTTTCACTGCCCTGTAAGAGCATCCTGGGGTAGATAAAAAGGCAACTTCATTCTTGTTGAAAAAGCCAAAACGGGTGGGTGTGGGGGCTTGAGGAAACTGGCCATCCACAGGTCAAAGTGTGCCCAGCCTCTGTCCCTCCTCCCTCCTTGGGAAAGCAGGAGCGGCCAGTGACTCCAGAGCAGTGTTTCCACCCCTGACACAGATGTACTCGATGGCGTAGGAGCCTATAGAGGCGCGATGCTGCCCAGAGCACACGAAGGATGATTTCAGCCCAGGTCATCTGGCTTTAATGTTTCATTAACTCAATAGTTTTTTTCTTATCTAGACAGGCTAATAGAATAAGTTCTATTCCGAGCATTATCACAGTTCCATCTTCAAATATTTTCCAAAAAATAGAAAGCAACAGCTATTGACAAGGACGTAGAGACATCGGAACCCTGGTGCACTGTTGGTGGGAATGTAGAATGGTGCAGCTGTTCTGGAAAACAGCATGGTGATTCCTTAAAAAGCTGAACAGAATTTCCACATGATCCAGCAATTCAGCTTCTGGGTTATAGGCCCAGAGGAATTGAAAGCTGCGACTTGAACATATATTTGTACACCCATGTCCATAACAGCATTATTTACAATACAGAGTACTCAACCCCCATGTCCGTTGATGGACGAATGGATATATAAAATGTGGTCTACACATACAGTGGAATATTATTCTACTGAATATTATTCAGCCTTAGAAACGCTGGAGATTCTAATACATGCTACAACGTGGGTGAACCTTGGAACATTGTGCTAAGTGAAACAAGCCTGTCACAAAAATAACAAATATTGTAAGATTCCACTTATAGTGAGGCAAAAAATAGGTTTACAGCTGTTCATATGGAAAATAATACAAAAATTAGTAAATGACACAAGAATAAACTGTTTTGTGTCCTCAACTGTAAACCTACGTTTGCCCCACTATGTGGGACCTAGAGTAGTCAAATTCATGGATTAAAAAAAGTAAAATAATGGTTACCATGAGGTGGGGAGAGGGAAGAATGGAAGTTAGTGTTTAATGGGTACAGATTTCTGTTTTTAAAAAAAAAAGTTCTGGAAATGGATAGCGGTGACAGTTGCGTGACACTATAAGTGTATGTCACTGAACTCTACACTTAAAATGATTAAATGGTAAACATTGTATTTTACCACAATAACAGTGTTTTAATGCAAAAAATATTCCATTTAACCGCCCTAGACATAGCTGCAAATAAACTATCAACAACTTGACAATTTTTTTGTGCCTACCCTGTACCCAAGGTAAATGCTGGGAGTTACAATAACATCCTTTCAGCTGGAAGCACCCAGCCAGCAGCAAGAAGGAAAATTGTCAGTGCTCATAACTGAAAAAGCTTTGGCGTCAAGGGCAATCCAGAGCCTCGAGCAAAGCCGTCAGGAGTCTGCTCTGTCTCCTGGCTCTGCTCTTCTCCGTGTGGCTTTATTCTCAGACAAGCATCCCAGGAGTTGGCAGTGATGGTTCCCAGCAGCTCCTATCAGTTTAGCAATGCCTAAAGAAAGAGGGTCTCTTGCCAGTAGCTCCTGCAGAAGCCCCAGGACTGATGAGTCTCCTGGGTCTGCTTTAATTCACAAATCTGCCCTGAGCCCATCACTGACAGATTAGCCTAGCAAAGGAAAACCAGGGAGCTTTTAGAATAGAGGGGAGAGAGTGCGTGGAAAAAAATGACAGCTGCTCACGACTACAGGGCACCCTAGAATTTTAAGGAAAGGTTCCCAACGGTCATCAGCAAGAACTTTCTATCTAAATGGGGGCGGGGGGGAGGAATTCCCAGGCACAAAAACAAAATGAAGAAAAAGTGAGTAAATATAAATTAAAGGGCTTGAGTTGGACCTCGAAAGAAGAGCAGGATTTAAATGTGAAGACAGAAGTGGTTGGTGGGAGAACAGTAGGAGCAGAGATGTGAGGAGGTGGTGATTCGAACATCTGACCAGGGCAATAAGGGGGTACCCGGGCTGGGAGCATGTCCTGCGGTGAGCAAAGCCATGTCAGTTGACATCAGTGCCTTGAAAGCCAGTTTGGAACTTCTCCAACAACCCGATTTTTTAATAGTTGGGCATTGTATTCTTGAATCCATTTATTGTGGAACCACTCCAGTTTTTGCAAAGGCAAGATGGTAGAATGAAATCACTTTCTACACTCCTGTCCAAATGAATGCTGAGGCAGCTAAGTGGGCAACGCAGGGCTCCGAAGGATAGCAGCTGCACAGGGGACAGCCTGCATGAAGTGTTTGTTTATGACTCCAGGAGCCAGCATTAACGTGCCATTTGCTTTTATGTCCTAAAGAAAGAGGCAGGAGTGGATTCCTGAACACAGCTAACAGCCCTTGCACACAGGGCATGCCCTGCCCACTGGGTCATGGCCAGCACCAGCAGCCCAAAGACATTTCTCATCAAACTGTGGTCAGTCTGGGCGGTAGCAGACACAGTCCACTCTTTCCTTTTTCCTCTTTATGAGAAGGTTAAGGTTTTCAATATTATGTGTCTTTTAAAAAATATGCATATCATAATTCTAATTTTTATATAGTACATTTGTGTTTCACCCTTTTTCTATTAAGCTTATCAGAGTTATGTGTAGTTCAAAAAGTAACTGAGAAGCACAACTATCATTTTCTAATTTGTTGATTTTTTTTTTAAATAGTGGTAAAATATACATAGCATAAAATTTACCATTTTAACCATTTAAAGCATACAATTCAGTGGCATTTAGTACATTCACCATGTTGTGCAATCATCACTCCTGCTTAGTCTCAGAGCATTTTCATCACCCTAAAAGGAAATAGGCATTTAGCTCCCCATTCCCTGGCAGTTGCTTCACCCAACCCCAGGCACCCACGAATCTGTTTTCTGTCTCTATGGATCTGCCTTTTCAGGATATTTCATATCAATGGAATCATGTAATATGTGGCCTTTTGGGCTTCTTTCACTGGGCATGTTTTTGAGGTTCATCCATATTGTAGCATGTATCAGTACCTCATTCCTTTATAGTTGAATAATATTGCATTTTATGGATATACTGCATTTTGTTCATTCATCAGTTGATGGAAATGTACTTATTGGTTACCTCAAACAGCCCAGCACATTCCCCAAAAGGAGGCAATTCACAATGGATAACCAGGATGCTCGTCAACCAATTTACATAATCGAAGCATTCTGGCTCTTTATTTTTTATTATTATTTTTTAAAATTTATCTTTATTGTTGAGAGTATTACAGGTGTCCCATTTTCCCCCCCAATTGACCCCCTCCACTTCACTCCCACCCCCTCCCCAGGCCTTCACCCCATTATTGACTGTGTCCATGGGTTATACATATATGCATATAACTTCTTTGGTTAATCTCTTCCCACCCTCTACCATTCCTTCCCTCTTTCCTCTGAGATATGACCGTCTGTTGCATGGGTCAGTGTCTCTGGATCTATTTAGTTAATCAGATTCTTTTGTTCATTAGCTTCTTCTTAAAGAAGACCCTTCAACTTCTCCTCTAGTGCTGGTCTGGCGGTGATGAACCCCTTTAGCTTTTTAGCTGTGAAGCTTTTTACCTGACCTTCAATTCTAAATGATAGCTTTGCTAGGTAGAGCAATCTTGGTTGTAGTTCCATGTTTTTCATCACTTTGAATATTTCTTGCCACTTCCTTCTGGCCTACAAGGTTTCTGTCGAGAAATTAGCTGACAGTCGTATGGGTGCTCCCTTGTAGGTAACTAACTGCTTTTCTCTTGCTGCTTTTAAGATTCTCTCTTTGTCTTTAACCTTTGGAATTTAAATTATGATGTGTCTTGCTGTGGGCCTCTTTGGGTTCCCCTTGTTTGGGACCCTCTGTGCTTCCTGGACTTGTAAGTCTATTTCTTTTCCCAGGTGGGGGAAGTTTTCTGTCATTTTTTCAAATAAGTTTTCAATTTCTTGGTCTCTTTCTTCCCGTTCTGGCACCTCAATAATACAAATGTTGGGCCTCTTGAAGTTGTCCCAGAGGCTCCTTATACTATCTTCATATTTCTGGATTCTTTTTTCTTTTTGCTCTTCTGGTTGGGTGTTTTTTGTTTCCTCATGTTCCAAATTGCTGATTTGATTCTCAGCGTCCTCTACTCTACTGTTGATTCCCTGTAAATTATTCTTCATTTCAGTTCCTGTAGCCTTCATTTCAAATTGGTACTTTATTATGTTATCGATTTTCTCAGTTATTTCCCTAATAGTCTGCTTAAACATCCTTATAAACAAAATTCTGAACTCTGTATCTGTTAGCTTGCTTGGATCTATTTCATTTAGTTCCTCTTCTAGAGATTTCTTCTGTTCTTTCCTTTGTGACATGTTTCTTTGCCTCCACATTTTGGCTGCTTCCAGGTGTTTGTTTCTATGTATTAGGTAGAGCTGCTATGTCTCCTGGAATTTGTAGAGTGGCTTTGTGTAGTAGGTGTCCTGTAGGGTCCAGTGGCTCAGCCTCCCCAGTCACCTGAGCTGGGCCTTCTAGGTGCTCCCCTGTGTGGGCTGTGTGCACTGTCCTGTTGTAGTTGAGCCTTGGTTGCTGTTGGCGTCACTGGGAGGAACTGACCCCCAGGCCAATCAGCTGTGAGGACCAGCTGCAACTACAGCCAAAGAGCTGCTGTGCTGGAGACACCCCTATGGAGCAGGATTTACTTCAGTGGAGCTTTGGTGTTCACCAAGTGCGCCCCTTGAGTGTGTCACTCGTGGATGTGGTAGGGTTGTAATCCAGCGTGGTCGAGTCTGACCACCAGGTGCACTGTCTCTGGGGCCTCCCGGGAGGTGCAAAGTCAGCCTGTGCCAGTGCCTTGCCC